CCCCCCATTTCTACAGACTTATGATTAGCTCTTTAACATATCCGGAATTTATTTTTGTAGAAGTGGGAAGATGGAGTTCAGCCTTCCCTCAAACTGAGAGCCCGCTGTTCCCCACCAGCATTTCCCTTTCCTGCTGGCTGGATGTGTCGCCTTGTCACGCCCCCCACACCCACAACGTGTTTGTAGCTCCACTTCTATCCTCTCTGTGCTCCTCCATGGGGGCAAACCTCCATTTGTCCTGTCCTGTGCCAATACCACACTGTCAATCGCTAATGTTCTATACCACATTTTTTAAATTTTTGTCTTTTTTGTGACCGGTAAGGGGATTGCAACCCTTGACATGGTGTCGCCCGCACCACGCTCAGCCAGTGAGCGCACTGGCCATGCCTATATAGGATCCGAACCCGCGGCGGGAGCGCCGCTGTGCTCCCAAGCGCTGCACTCTCATGAGTGCGCCACGGGGCCGGCCCTCTATACCACATTTTGATACCAGATAGAGCGAGTTCTCTTTTTTAAATTGAGATTACATGTACACACTATAAACTTCATATTTTAAAAGCATACAATTGGGGAGTTTTAGGATTGTCACAATTCTGGGCACCCGTCACCACTGCCTGATTCCAGAAGTCGTGGAAAGTGACTGTCACCCCCTCCTCCAGCCTCTGGCAACCACCGATGCACTGTCTGTCTCTATGGACATGACTGCTCTGTTCATTTCATACGCATGGGATCATATGGTGTGTGACATTTCGTATCTGGCTTCTTTCACTCAGCATCATATTTTCAAGGTTCATTTGTGTTGTAGCATGTGTCAGGGCTTTGTTCCTTTTTATGGCTGAGTAATATTCCATTGTATGGATAGACCCTATATTGCTTCTCTGTTTATCAGTCGATGGGTATATGGGTTGTTTCCAGTTTTTGGCTATGATGAGTCATGCTGCTGTGAACAACTGTGTATAAATGTTTGTGTGAACATGTGTTTTCAGTTCTCTTTGACATGCACATGAGTAGGCACAGGGGTAATACGTACAGAGAGGACTTGCTGGATCATGTGGCAGCTCTGTGTCTGAGTGCCGCCACGCTGCTTTCCCAAACAGCTGAACCGTTTTACATCCCCACGAGCACTGGCAGAGGTTCTAACTTCTCTGTATCCCACAACACTTGCGACTGTTCATCCTTTCAATGACAGCCACCCTAGAGGGTGCGAAGTGGTGCCTCAGTGGGCTTTTGATTTTCATTTCCTAGTGACTAATGACGTTGAGCATCTTTTCATGTGCTTATTGGCCATTTGTACATCTTTATTGAAGAAATATCTATTCAAATCCTTTGCCTGTTTTTATTTATTTACTTTTAGAATGACTTTATTCGGAGTAATAAACAAAAAAGTGAAACTACGAAACGTAATTGTCTGTACCAAATGAGCCGCCTTCTCCAGGAAGATGCTTTAAAGATCCCCCAGACAGAACACTGTTGCATGTGGACAATGAATGTCTCAGGCCTTTTATTAAAACAAGGTATATTTGTTCTTTGGGGGATTTTCCCCAACTTTCCAACATTTGTTTACAAACCCCTCATATACTAACTAATTTAGTTTTAAAAAGACAATAGCATGGACCTAACAACACTCAGCTGTCCCGTGAAAGCATTTCAATGCATATGAAAATCAAGTAAGAGTGTTCATGCAACTTCAAGTGGAATGCACGTGTCACCATGATCAAGACAGTGAACATGTCCATGACCACTAGAAGGTTCTTCTTGCCCCTTTGGAATCCCTGCACCACAACACAGTTCATTTCTAGGATTTTGTATGAATGAAATTATCTAGTATGTCTGCTTTGCCTGTTTTTAAGTTGGGTTATTGTCTTTTTATTGTTTGGTTGGAAGTGTTTTTTATATATTCTGGATACTAGACTCTTATCAGAGACATGATTGGCCAATATTTTCTCCCATTTTGTGGGTTGCCTTTTCAATCTCTTTTTTTTTTTTTTCCTTTTTGTCTTTTTCCGTGTCCGGCAACGGATCGCAACCCTCAGTGTCGCGCCCGTACCGGACC